CGACGACAAGGGGGCCGCCCCCTGCCGCTGCAAACCCGGCTTCCGCGGCAAGCGCTGCGAGACCAGTGAGTGGCCGAGAAGCGTTCGCGGAGCGTCCCCCTCTCTCCTCCCGCGGCCTCTTTCCCCCTCGCTCGTTGTCTTAGCGAAAAGCTCAGCTTTCCACCCTCCTAAGACTCTCTCAGCTCTTGTTATTTAGATCCGGAAGAAAACTTGCTGTGGGACCCGGTCCCGTCGGGTTGGCACGCAGGACCCGTGCAGCCGGGTGGCGGTGCCGGTAAAGGCGCCCGGTGGAGCTCGTGCAGCCGCTGCAGCCGGGGCTGCCCGCTCTCCCAGGGCCCATCGAGTAACACCAGATGGTCTTTCTTTTTTAATTCTGGCCCTTAACAGACTGCGACCCCGGCTATTACGGGGATGGCTGCAAGAAGAAGTGTAGCTGCCCTCCAGAAGTGTCCTGTGACCATGTCACCGGCGAGTGCTGGAAGGAGTGTCCCCCAGGCTACCGTGGGGAGAACTGCGATCAAGGTAAGGCAGTGGCCCCGCAGGGCAGCTCAGCCTGCTGTCAGCTCACGATTCCCCGCGCAGACAAACTTTTTCTTTGCAAAACAACATGAAAGGACTTCCAGAATTCCTCCTGGGCTCTCACAGGCCCCCTCACCCACTGCAGTTGATCTAATGAGTGAAGAGTTGAAATGGCTTTAGAGGACACGAGAGCTGCCGTTTGCAGGTCTTTGTAAAACGCTGCAGTCTCTCCCAAGCGGGGAAGCAGGATTGCTCACGCATAATGGGTCTTATTCAGAAAAGGAGAACAAGGTCTCACTTTATCCTGCCACTTGGGCATCTTTGCTCTTGTAGATGAAGGTGATAGATAGCTAGTTATCTTTCCTCCCCCTTTGATGTCTTTTTACTTCCAGACAATCAGTGCCCAGCAGAACGGTATCATATTTTCCTCTCTATTTCCTATTCCATATTGAAACTCTATTTGATCTTCAAGTGGAAAAGAAAATTTTATATTTCATTTACATTAGGATTTAAACTTTTGCCTCTGTATGAACCTCCTAGAGCAGTTTTCTGCTCTTCACGCAAAGGGGCAGTCGGCAGTATGGTAACTGCTGCCCAGCTCGGGGTGTGCGGTGCAGCACAAGCTCTGAGGGCGCAGCTTTTCAAGATCCTGGGGTGTCAGAGAGCATGACTTTCCTTGAACAAAGGTGTTTTGAGTGAACCTAATGGCCGTGAGTCATTGGCACGAGGTGATGATTACAAAACATGAACACAGTTCTTGGAAAATAATAACTTCTGCCAGCCTCAGAGCTGATCAAGGGCTGAAAAGCCAAGCTCCTCCTCCTGTGAGGTTGTCTCCTCCTGAATCACACTTCAACTGGTCGGAGCCAGCAGAAAACACAAGAAGTTGAACTCTTGAAGGCCACACTTGAAGACACACTGCATCAGGAGAAGGCACGCTGGGTCAGGAGAAGGCACGCTGGGTCAAGAGGCTTGCGGTGGTCACTGTCTGAATTTTCATTCGAGCATCCCGGGAGCTTCTGCACTAACTTAAGTTTAACCAGGCACCTCATCCCCACCCAACCCAGAAGTATAACTATTAACTTAATTAAGCTGCTAGCACATGATTACCTTGCATGACACAACTGAGAGAGCATCGCTGGTCTGTTGATCAGCACAAAAGCTGCAGATGGTCACAAAGAGTCCCATCACAAGTAAGTGCTAGCGGAGCTAAAGAGCGTTAGGAGGAGCACCGCAGGCAGCTTTCGCAGGGCTTGTGCCCCTCGCGGGGGTCCCGGCAGCCCCGGAGCCCCCCCGCGTGGTGGGACGCTGCTGCCTCCAGAGCCCCGCGGCGCCTCGGCGGGCTGGGCGCTCTCGGTTGGGATATTTTTAAAAGAATAAGAAAGAAGTTTAAGCCTGTAGGGGGGAGTCACAGGAAATAACACAAATATTTGTATAGAAATAGTAGGCTCTTGGCTGTTGTTCGGATCTGGAAATTATTAAAGGGTGAAGACAAACATCTGCCATCAATTAGCAAAGAGGAGGAATAACAAAAACTCCACTGTGTCACTTGAAATCTACGCGCTGGTGTGCTTTTCCTCCGTGATTTGTGAACACTGATGTGTTTGCATCTGCCGAAGCCATACGAAACGTTGGCTTCGGTGAGCACAAAGGTCTGCGAGCACGCAGCTCTTCTGGGAGACTCCAATAGGATTTGAGGATCTTCTGGTCCGAGGCCCTCAGGCTGCACGTAATTAGCTATTGCTACGTTGTGTCATGGGGTGCAAAGAGCAAACCCAGCTTTCTGGTGGCAGCAGTACCCCCCGGCATTCAGAGCAGAGGGAAGGAAAAGCGCTCACTCCTCCCGTGGCTGAGGATGCTCCTTCTTTATCGCTTTACATCAGCCTACCTGCTGCTGCTTCAGAGCCTGGCTTCCAGGTTCTGGAGGCATTCAGCCAGGGCAGTAAAAAGCCCTCAGAACATATTCTAGAAGTCAAGGGATGGTACGGGCTTGGGGGCTGGGAACCCCGTGTTCTGCACCGGGGGGGCTCGGGCCACTGCCCATGGGATGAGCCCGTGGGTCCCAGAGGCAGAGCGAGAGCCCATCTCTGCTGCTGCGGTGCTGCCGTACGGTGGCTGCGGTGCTGCCGGGCGCAGCGGGGAGGGAGCGGGTCCTGTTGCAGAATCGCGTTCACAGTCTGGAGACCAGTTTGGCCTCAGCTGTAGGAGGAAATACTTGTTGAAAGGACAGTCGGCACCAGAGAAGCGATGCTCAGTCACCTCAAGGCAGTGGTGGGACATGCTAGAGGATGCAGGTGTGGGTAACAGAGCGGTCGCATCCGAGCCCATGAGCACGGTCTTCCCCCAGTGGAAACCCTTCACAGCTGGGCTTTTCCTCGCACAGCCGGAGGCTCCTTTGGCACACAGGGTCGGATCGGTGATACGCTCTTGGGAAGGGCACCTCCGGAGGGGGCGGTTTTCACCCTGCTGTTTTCCCCACAGAGTGTCCGGAGGGGACGTTCGGGGCGGGCTGCCGGCGGTCCTGCCGCTGCGGGGGAGCGCCCTGCGACCGGAGCTCGGGGCAGTGCCTCTGCCTGCCCGGCTGGACCGGACACGACTGCGGCCAAGGTGAGGAGCCAACAGCAGCAAACGCGCCGAGGTAGGGATTTAGGCCTGTAGCTGTTATTTTTCTTTCGCTAAAATCAGTTTTAAAAAACGTCTCGTGCAATTAGAATCATCCTCATGGAAAATCAGAAAAAATGCAGCTTTTGATGGTAAGTCTTAAACAATAACCTCAGCTAGCTCAGCTTCGCTCTGGTGTTGGAGCTGAGTGGAGCAGAAGTAAACATATACAACAAAAAAGATGAAGATATTTTTGGTTGTTGCAGTCCTTAACATATGAAAGGAGTCTTTCTTCACTGATGTGTACTTTTAATTGCTTTCACCATATTACTCTTTAACTGCTGCAAAACTAGACAACCCTAAATTAAAAACTTTTACATGATTATACAGTATTAGAGCAGCTGGAAGATATTAGTCATATATAGATGTCCTGCTCCTAATAGTTTGACTGAGCAATAAAACCACACATGCACAGTGCTCACCGTACATTTTGAACTGACTTTTTTCCAGGCCCTGGAGCAGTTGTTTAACAAGAATTCCTGCCCCAGTTTTATCAGTTCTCAGCCTTTTGCTTCTCCTTTGCAACTGAAAGCAGATCTGGGAGCGCTGACTAACGTGCTGTCCAGTAGTGGGGCAGCAGCTGCGAAGAGCCTTTGCCAGCAACACCATTTCCTAGCGAGGAGCCCTTGGAGCTCCCCACAAGTAGATGGGAATCCAGAATTGACATGAAAGTACTGGAGTGAGACCAGAATAGCACTTACCAGGGCTCACGCTGTTTATAAAACAAACAAAGCAATGTTGTCCTTGTTAGTAGCCACGTATTGCCAAACAAAAGTCCATGCTTTGCACGGACATGAGCGAGAAAGGGGACCCCTTGCCACGCACCAGAAAATAGAAATTTCCCTCTCGCGCCTCGGCTGTGATCCCGATGCTTGTGTGTCCTCTCTCTCCAGCCTGCCCGGAGGGTCGCTGGGGACTGGGCTGTCAGGAGATTTGTCCTGAGTGTGCCAACAACGCCAGCTGCCACCCTGCCTCGGGAGCCTGCCTGTGCCCGCCCGGCTACACCGGCCCTCGCTGCCAGGACGGTGAGTGCTGTCGGCCGTCGGGTCCCTGAACGGCTCTCTCCGGCTGGGCTGAGGGGTATTTCAGTGGACCTGGAGTGCCCGCTCTAGCGAGCAGAGCATCCAGCTGTGGACCAGGCACCGCCGCACGCGTCAGAGCATCGTGCACGCCTCTGGTGCCTCACCCTCTGGGGCACGGGTTGGGTTCTTCCCTTGACATCCCTCTAGTCCTGCCTTCACAGCGGTGACTTTCACATCGGCAGAAGGGGAGGTGAAGCCCTAAACCCCTTGGCCCACTCACCCCAGAGGAGCGTCGGTGCTCTTGGTGGCTCTGCAGAAGCACCCTGCGGCACCCCTGGGCTCCGCAGGGAAGGAAGCCCTCACGCGGGGTTCGGGCAGCCGTTTGCAGTTGGTACGTGTCTGCCTTGGCAGTGTGTCCGCCTGGCTGGTTCGGCCCAGACTGCCAGCTGAGCTGCAGCTGTGGGAACGACGGACATTGCCATCCCGTGACGGGGACGTGCAGCTGCCCGCCTGGCTGGATGGGGTACAACTGTCAGAGAGGTATTGTGCCCACTGCTTATTATCCGTCGCTCCGAGAACACCCTGACCCGTGCAGAGCTGTGCTGGGATTTGCCTTATTGTCATCTCTGTGCTGTGCCTCTGCCAGAAAGATCTCTGTGTGAAATCCTTGAGGTTTCTCTGCTCTGCCCTGCCAGTGCCGCCGGGTGCCTTTCTGTACTGGTCTTGCTTGCAGGGTGCATTCACAGAATCTCCTAGAGACCTGTAAGATCACCCAGTCCAATCATTTCCCTAACACTGACCAGCCCACCACTAAGCCGTGTCCCTCAGCACTGCATCTACACCACCCTTAAATACCTCCAGGGATGGGGACTCCGCCACTGCCCTGGGTAACGCGTTCCAACACCTGATGACCCTTTCAGTAAAGAAATTCTTCCTTTTCTCCAAGCTAAACAACCCCAGTTCCCTCAGCCACTCCTCGTAAGACACGTGCTCCAGACCCCTCACCAGTTTCACATCAAAAACGTGCCAACATAGCGCCCGCTCCCACTGTCCCACTGGGTTTTCTGAGGACCTGTTTGTCCTTCTGCCCAAGTGAGCGGCTGTAACCGATGGAAATCGCATCCCACGGAGAAGGCAGCACTGTGCCCGCGCTGTGCTCGCCGGAGAAGCCGGGCAAGTGGCGCCCACGCCACTGAGTGTCGGCTCCCCGCTGTGTTTCAGCCTGCGACGCCGGTCGCTGGGGCGCCGACTGTGCTCACGCCTGCAACTGCAGCAACAGCGACGGGAGCTGCAGCGCGGAGACGGGGCAGTGCGCCTGCGAAGCCGGCTACACGGGCGGCCGCTGCGAAAAGAGGGCGTGGGGCAGGCAGCCAGGAGCGCATCTTGGCTCAGTCGCAGGGGTTTGGTCCCCGTGCCCTGTCTGTGATGCTGCTGGTCCACTCCTGTCCTGCGGGCGGCTGGGTGGTGTGGGTACACTTCTGTAGGGGGGAGGGTAGAGCCCACCAGTTGTTATAAAAAAGCAGCTGCCATATACTGTTATTTCCACTCAGAGCCTGAGCTCCTGCCTTAGCATAGCTTCCCGGGACGCCGGGAGAGGACAGGCTCCTCAGTCTCCTTTGCTTCTGCTTGCCAGAGTGCCCGGCAGGATGGTTTGGGCTGAACTGTCGGCACCAATGTCAGTGTGACAACGGGGCTGCCTGCGACCACGTCAGCGGCGCCTGTACCTGCAGCCCGGGCTGGCGAGGAACCTTCTGTGAGCATGGTGAGTACCTGTGCCTGGGACCCAGCGCCGGCGGCAGCTCCTGCCGACCACGGGCACCTTGCCGGCAGGGTCTGCACTCCTTTGCTATCCCATTACAGCAAAGAGAATCCCTCTGGATGATGATGGGGAAAACCGCATGTCTGCAAGCTGCTAAGTCTCTGGTTTTAATTCTGAAGGGCAAAGGTCTAGGGAAAAAAAAAAAGACTTACAAAATGTATACAAGGAGTAAATGCAGAGCTGCCCCGATCACCCGTGCGGTTGCACACCGGGTCTTGGAGTGGCCTCTCCAAGGGGTCCCTGGGTGCAGGGTTCTGGCTCCCGCACCAACCTGCTCGGTGGACAGAAACCTCGCGCCATCGCTCTTCTGCTGCACCCCAGCTTTGTCCTGTACCTTGAGTGACAATAACAGACAGGCATCCAATATTCTGCTGCCCTGCCGGGGGAGAGCCGTTAACAGGTGGCTGTCACAGTGGTGCAGCATCGTATCGGCACGTAAAGGCCACCAAGAGGCATCGCTTCTCTGCTGGGAGATTCCCAGCTCTCTCTACAGACATTTTGTGGGGATTTATCTTTTCTTTTCTGCAGCCTGTCCTGATGGGTTTTACGGACTGGAGTGCTGGGAAGCCTGCGACTGCCTGAACGGCGCCCGCTGTGACCATGTCACAGGCCAGTGCCACTGCCCCCCCGGCTGGGCTGGTCCCCGCTGCGGCCAGGGTAGGTGTCCCAGCAGCCCAGCACCCACCTTCTGCACCAGGGGATGGGGAGGGATGGTGATGGGATGAGATGGGGTGGGGAGGGGATGGGATGGGATGGGATGGGATGGAGCGAGGCCGGAGCAGCCCTCCATGAGGCACTCTGGAGCCTTCTCCGGCTCTTGCACTGCTCAGTCGTAGAGCCCGGAGGTTTAATAGAGCCCGGAGGTTTAGGTGTCTGTTCCTCACGTGTGATTTTCTCCGCATGGAAGTTAGTTCTGTGCGGCAGAGAAGGATTTGGTTTCGGAGAGGGATGGGGGGCTCTGGCTGAGCCCATTGTTGCTGAATGTAACGAGGGCTTGGGCGTGCAGCAAAGCAGTTTCCACATAGATAACTCAGTGACGATAACAACAGTGTCCGTGTTTGAATGTCACCCGCCTGTAGAATACAGCTGTTATTTCCCCATAGCACCATAAAAACCAACTTACACAGCCGTCCAAAGCAGCCACGCACCAGTGTTGGTTCCTCTCCCAGCCAAGCGCGTTCGGGATGGTTGGTGGGACTCTGGCTGATGTAACCCATACCTGCTGCCTAACAGTTGTGCCTGCTTCTGCTCCCACGAAGCGTGCCAGGAGAACAGGTACGGCGAGAACTGCAGCCAGACGTGCAACTGCTTCAATAACGCTACCTGCAACCACGTCAGCGGCCGATGTCTCTGTGTGGCCGGGTGGACGGGAGCCACGTGCCAGCAAGGTAATGCGCCTTATGGTCACTTCCTAACCCAGACTGTCTGCCTCCTCTGCCAGCATGCGCTACACACGCCATTTCTCAAGGGTGGGTCGGAGTTTTCTATGGGGTAGCAACTACAAAAAGCTGAGACAGTTCGATAACAAAGCCAGGTTGCAGCTAAGGTCATGGTTAGCTCTGCAGCGCCTCCTGATTCATTCATAAAAAGAGAAGCCAAGAGGTTGCCTTGTCCAAGAGCACCAGGAATTGCACTCACTTGCATTTTCATAGCAGCACAGAGTAACAGCTGGATTGTCCGCTGCACAGACACCAGCTCAGCGATGCCTTTAGGCGCAGCTCAGTGACTCTCTGCACATGAGAACAATTATTCGTGTGGTTAAATGGCTTTTTTATCTCTGCTAAGCACTGGTGCTGTCTGGGTCTAGGAGAGGAGGATGTTCTGCAGCTCAGGACCGAAGGCACCGGCTACCAACAGTGTCTCTCGGGCTGCTGAACTCACCCAGCCTTTTTTCTTTTGTGTATTTGCCACCCCCGGAGCTAAGAAGGCTCTGAAGAGATCAGGCACCCAGAGCCCTGTGTCCTCACCGCCTCTTTCCTGAGCAGGGTAAAATACCACATGTCTTCACGTGGGCAGCTAAGCAGCCTCAGGGTGTCATCAGCTCCCCTCACTGCCTCTCGTTGCGAGCAGTAACGGCTGCGTTTTACATCAGGCCATCCACTTACCCCTCTGGCATGGTGTTTGCCTTCGGACCTGTGTTCTGACTGCTTTTCCCGCAGCGTGCCCGGTGGGTTTCTACGGGAGGAGCTGCCGCCAGCGCTGCCTCTGCCAAAACGGTGGCACGTGTGACCCTGTCACGGGGCTCTGTGCCTGCGCCGAGGGCTGGACGGGGCTGGCCTGCGAGCTGGGTGAGTAACGGCATGCCGGCGGCCCTGAGAAACAGGCTCTGGCACAAACGTGTCCCATTTTGGACCCGTTTCCCTCCGAAGGCTGGGGATGGGTCGGGGCGGTGGGTGCCAGGGCAGCGTTTCACCACGTGCCTCCTCCCAGAGTGCCCAC